GAAAATATTCGCTTGACTTGCTATTATTGCTACTGTAGTACAATAGTACAATATAGTACAAGCTGTCATCAGTATTTTTGTCATGCTCCTAGTCCCCTGTAGAATTTATCTGAAACTGCAGTATAATTGGAATTAACCTTTTTCCCAGCAAAATGTTAGTTGGGAAAAGTGAAACATAGAATTTGATGTAATATAAAATAATGATCTTTTGCTACATTTAGGAGAAATCAACTTTTTTCTGCAACTCTGAAATGGGAGCATCAGAAATATACTACCCCCAGGAATATGAAATGGACAGAGCCGTTGTCCTGCAGCCCAAATGGTTATTTGGTACTTGGGTTCTTAACCTGTTTTTTTCTGTTAAAAAGGCAAATGGGTTGTGTCAGACATTTCTGGTGTAATCTGGTTTATTTACCAAAAGGCAGCAAATAGTTTTAAGTCCTGTTTCCTAGAATAGATTAGAAGCTCTCAAAGATTTGACAAAGGTGATCCTCTTTGACTACAACGGAGTAAGTTTACCTTCACACTTTTTTTTTTTTTTAAAATAAGTTTTCCCTTACACTGTTTTCTGGTGATTCAAGGTAATCCTTATACCCACATTTGAGATGTGCTTTCTGATATCTTATGAATATGGCCACAGGGGAAGGAGAATTTGTGAGAGAAATGAAACCCAGAAACATGAAGGGGAATTCATGGTACCATTATTGCTAAAACCAATACTTCAGAAATTATATCTCAGATGCCAAATCAATGTGATTGGCTGCCAAATTACAGACTTTATTTTTTTTAATGAATGTACACAATTTTTGTCTGCATTTTGAAATTTGAACTCTTGGTTTTACTTCTTTCCCCCATATGCATGTGTGTGTATGCATATATAGCAATTAGATTATCCACTTCTGGATTTCCTAACAAAGAAGATATGTAACTCCAGCTTTCTTTTGCTGTAGTGGTTCTCACTTCTAAATCTATCTTTCAATCAATCATTCCCCAGTTCTGCCCCCAAAATGCCAGTCTCCAATCCTTCCCATCATTCCTGCACTCCTGGCTTCTGCAGGCTAAGGTTTCAAGTGTTGAGGGAGGAGGACAGAAGAGCAGAAAGATTTGGGATGCTACCTTGTGTTCTTTGTGTTGCCTTTTTCCTTATCTCCTGAAAAAAACCAAAAAACAAAAAAGACAAGGAAAACTCAGCCTCTTGTTGCAGCTCGAAGTTGCTATTCTCTTTCAGAGGGTGGCTAAGTGAAGCAGGCAGTGAGTCAAAGGGGTTTGCTTTTAAGATGGGACTGAAATTGATAAGACACCTGTAATTTTTCTTGTCATCAGCACACTGGCTCCAGTCTTGGACCAAATTTCCTGTTCTCCCTTCTCCCCTTAGGAAGGGGAGCTGGGCTACAGAGAGCTTTGTGAAGTGGATGCAGGTGACAACTTTTGGAGACATCAAGCAGTGAAGGTGGGAGAAGCCCACTGAGAGATTCCTGTATAAGCACAATGTCCAATATTGCTGGGCCAGTCAAGTACTTCCATGAGCTTCCTGAGGCTGGTAGTGTGAAATCAAATGGAAGACTACCAGCCTAAAAGAACAGTAGCCAAGATCATTCTGATGCGATGAGTCTTTCAGATTCCCATGGAAAAAGGGAAGCACCATCTAAAAGCCATAGGTCAGGCAGAGCTTTGAATGGTAATTCTTTTCTTGCTTTCCTTGTTTCCGATCAGCTTGTACAGTGACAACTTGATATCTTGGTTAGAATACCTATCTATCTCCACTGTCATGGACTGCAATGGCAGTTTTGTTTGGTGGGATGTTTAACAAAAAAGGGTTTCTCTGCCACCCAGTTCTCGGAATTTTCTTCACCTACAAAAATAACCCCTTCAGCCCTTTGACACCCAGGCAATTCAGCACAGCCAGTTCTTTAATCAAGGAGTCTCAAAGCACTTGAGATTCTGTGTGAAGAAACACCTTGTATACATCCTTGCTACAGAGACATAAAAGGTTGTTTTCCCACCACACCAAAGACTCATTTACAGGTGGCCAACCACGCTAAAATAAACCATATAAATAGTCATAAATACTATATAAATATGCTATTTATACTATATAAATATAGTATTACCATTGGCTTTCCTCTTCCTTTCCTTTTCCACACATTGCTTAGATTGTGCATGTAGTTTACATTTGGGGCAGCTCCAGTCAGCAAATGCTAGAGTAAAATCTTTTTTACATGTAGCCATGACCAATATTGGTCATTAACAAAACTACTATATATGTGCCATTTTAGCTAATGTCATCAAAACAGGTAAGCTTTGGTAACTTGGTCTATCTTGCTTACTACCGAACCTAGTCATTCCCCAGCAGGACACTTTTTCCTAGCTACTATTGGAAAGGGAGGGGCTACTCAGTGTCTCTAGAAACGTTCCTGCTCTGATTTCCCATCCAGCAGGCATAGGGAAGGGCACTTTTCTGCAAAACTGGCTGGTTCCCGATTGCATCAGCTCCAGGGCTTGGCCACAATTCTTGGTGGCAGTTTCCGAGTGATTACAAGCTGGTCCTGATTGTTTCAGGAACAAAATTAAATTTGCGGTTCCCCCGGTAACACACTGTGATTTGTTCAGGGAGAAAACTGGACTGAGACAAGTCCAAGTTTCTCTTTTGTTAGGCAGAAGGGAAGTAAAAGTAGATAACTATAGTCACCCATATGAGTAAGCCAGGAATTCATGAAGTGATTCATAAATCATTATAAGGACCAGTAAAGTCTACTAAAAAGGAGTCCTGTCTGGCTCTACAAAGTAGTGCATTATTATTGTGAAGGTTTTTTGGATGTTAAATCAAACGTGAAATCTGTAAAACTGTGCTTTTCACTATGAGTTTTGAAAAGGTTCTTTTCCCTGTTGTTGGCTCCTGGTTAAAACCATTTTTCAGAGATTAATTTCCACTAAGGAATTTTGAAAACACAGAATACGATATCCCATGATTTCTTAAATAATGGTAGTAACATAAGACTGTCTGTGCATTGCTTTTAATCTCTGGCAGCAAATAACAGTCTTTCTGTGTGAGTGCTCTACAAAAAATTAACTGCAGTCCTTACTCAGGAGGCATATAACCAGGTAGTTGTAGCACTTTTTAAAAACTTCTGATATGTTTATCAAGATATAGCTACTGATTTCTCTTTTTCTAAAACTTATTATCAGATATTATTGTGAAACACATGCATGCTTTACTCTCTTCCTCCCTACTATGTCTTACATAGTCTACACTGCATCATTTAACTGGAACAATGAAATATTTGACGCAGGAAAGACTCAGTGACTCAGTAGTGACGTCCGTATTTCCTCCATCTATTTAGCATATCTGAAGTAATATATGTGTTTATGAAGTTAATACCAAATCAGCACAAAGACCACCCGATCCCTATCTAATATACCTAAAAATGCGATTCTCAGAGAAAACTGAATAGGCAGTAAATCATCCAAAGTTCATCTTGACTCTTGCTATCCTCCAAATGTAAATTATGGATCTGCCAGAAATGTAGTAAATAGGTTTCAAATTAAGTGAAAATCACACAGATAATGTGTGGCAGATAGTGATTCTGAGCTGCAGCATGAAAGATCTCAGTTGTCTTTAAATGCAGTTATAACCTGTACGATGACCCTGTCCAGAGGTGTTCTGTAGTGCTACTACCACAGTTGCACCTTCTGTTGCATTCAGGGTGAGATTACAGATTCCTTACATTTCTCCAGGAGAAACATTCGTTATTGCTAGGTTAAAAAAAAAAGGTCATGTAGTGTATTGAGGTCCAGGGTCAGGAGAACAGGGGCCAGATCCACATTTTAGGATCTTGACAGACTGTATTAACTGCAAGCACTAATCCCTCCTAGCAGCAGCTACCGAGCAAACCCAACGCAGAGAAGGGTAGATGGGTGCTCTTGCTTGGCACAGACTTGCAGCTTGCTTTTAGGAGTGGAGAGAGGCTGATCTGTGACAAGAATACAACATCAGTTTTCACTCACCCCCTTGCATAAATATCCTGACTCTTTTTTGTTGGCCTTGCTAGCTCTCCTCTCATGGGTGAGAAAGTGGCCCTGAGCCATTCCTGAGCCCAGGCTGAGCTTTCGTTTACAAATCAGATGCCACTGGTCTTCATAACTTCAGCTTTCCATCTGCAGAAATGACTATAGCAGCTATTTGTAATGTACTTTGAGGTATGCAATTTTAAGGAAATGTAGAAAAAAGTCAAACTTACAAAGTCTGTGTGCAGTCCTCAAAGTAGTATGTATCCTTGTAGTGCCTGTAGTGACAGAGCTGTGCGAAGCATACCACTGAGGTGATGAACTTCTGTGGCAGCTGCAGCACCAGGTTTGGTCTGAATGGCTCTTCTCCTCTGCCGGGTTTGCAAGCTTATACTTTGAGTCCAGATCAACATTTTGATGTGGTCAGACTGCCTCAGTTGGTGCTCCCAGCAAAGCAATTTAACACTTGCCTTTATATACATTATACTGACTTCAGATTTTTTCATTTTCAAAGAGCTCTGTGTTACATACAAAGATTTCTAGAACTTGAAACCTGAGCACAGACCTGAACCTAACTTCTAACTCCTCAGTGTCCAATGACCAGAACTGACAGCTCACTTCCAGTGAGGAACAACAGCTATTTATTGACAGATACAGTTGATACAAAGCCTTACAGTGAGACAGCTGGCAATGCCTCAGAAATCAGGTCTCCCATGTGGTATCTCCTCCCATTAAGACTTAAACCCACCCACAGAAGTTAAAAGGAGTTTTCCATGATAAGGATGCAGTTCAACCTTTTAATTTCCCAGTTGTCAAATCTAATCATATGTCACCATTTGAATATGTATCTTCTCTGTATCTGGGCTGCACGCTGTTCTTTTGGAAGTCATCATGAATGCAACCTGCTAAACATTATAGCAATCTAAGTAAAGTAGAAACAATCTTTAGCTCTTATCTTTTGGGGATTTTACGGTTTTGTGTTTCTGAACTACTAGGTTTGTTGCACCAGCTCCTTCTCCTCACCACATCAGCCCCCAGAGAATTTCAGTTCCGCATCACATGATGCAGAGACAGACTCCACAACCTCCCCACCTTCAACAGCCTGCAGCGATGCCTCTGAAGACATACCAGTCAGCAGCAGCAAACCCTTCTTTTCAACCAAATAGCCTCCACATCCAAGGTAAGAAGGAATAATTTTCATCACTGATGTTGTTTGTCACTGCTGCTTGGTGTCATATTAAATGCTTCAAGGGCTGATGCTGCTATTTTTAAGGGACATTTCCTTTTAGAAGACTCTGGGAAGTAGCCTTCGGGACCTTGCGTTCAGACTTCCTTAAAATTCTTAGCTTAGCTAATTGTTATTCATCTTGTGGGTTTCTCTTCAGACTGATTTTCAGAGCTGTTGTTGAAATAGAACTGCAAATAATTCTGCAATGGCTTCTGCTTTTAATTTGCTGATGTTATGCTTCTAATCCCTCCTGACTTTACATGTAAAGTGTTACCAGGTTTTCAAGAGATGGAATATTTTTCTCCCTTGCACTTGTGGAGTGATGGAGACCTCTTCTTTTATTAGCATACATGTCTCTTACAGCTGTGGTCCCACTTGCACTGTGTAAACAGCTTCTTCAAGACTTCTTTCTCCCTCTTTCTTCAATCAAGTGCAAACTTCTCTAGCCAAGAAGAAAATTAACAGCAGCTGAAAACAATGTTGGGTTGTTTTGGGGTTTTTTTCTAGCTGGTACGGAGTCTGAATGGTAATTACCTTAACATTTCAGAAATGTGTTGACAGCAGTAATGCTGTTTCCTCTCAACTGTTTAAATATATGGTTTTCCATCTTTACATACACAAGGTACACTGGACTTTTATAGGCCTTGAGACTTTGCTTTTTGATCAGGCTTCCTGAGAATTATCACAGCAGATATCATAGGAAACATCTTGAGAAAACCAAGGCTTCTTTTGTTTTCTTCTACTGATAGAGGCAGTCTCTCTAGGCAAAGGGATAAGACAGGATGCTGAGGCATCTCCCAGAGTTCATGAGTATGAAGGGGAGAAAGGAAAGTGCTAGACCGCACGTGAGCAGGATCTGAGCCAGGTGCTTTTCTTCTGGGAACTGGTAATCCTGAACAGCACTGATTAGTACTAGAAGAACATGAAATTTACCAATGGATGTAAACAGTTATTGTTGGCTTTCTCGCTCTCTGATTAATGTTTCACTAATAATCTAGGGCCAACAGAGTACAGGATGAAATTTATTAATATACTCTTCATTGTCATATGACACATGTGAAGACATGCCAGAGCAGGTCCAATAAATTCCTAGCATATGAGGCATGAAGGGATCAAGTTAGCCTTCCTATTTCCACAGTACAACACATTTTACTTAGTTCCCTTTTTTGCTGAGTATTTGGCAAGAACTGATCTTCCAGAAAGGCATCCAGACGTCTGTCTTCCTGCCTGGAAAAAAAATTGTCTTTTGAGTGCATAGACGGCTTTACCACCCTTTTCCTCTCATGGTCATGGGAGATTCAGTAACTGTAGAAGCTGGGATCACAACCAGTTGCTCCAAAGTTCAACAGTTTCCAAAGAATCCTGCCTTCCAGAGGCTCACAGATCACCTCGGATTAGTGGCTGCTCTGCACAAGGCTTGCACTGACTGGTGTAGCTAAGTCCATATCTGTTTGGGCATCTTCTCGTTAGGGCAGGCCAGAACAATGCTACTGTGTTCCCATATCCCCCTCCTACAATCCAAAGAGAATTTAAAAGAACAAAAGACATTGGTCATTAAAACCACTATAAGAAGGCAGCCCAGTAGAGACTCTCATCAGGATGAATGTAACATATGGACTGAAGCTGCATTCCACATCCAAATTTAAGATACTCCTTAATACTATCTTCTGAGTGGAGCAAAAATTGGATAACCTCAAGGGCTTGGACCTTAAACCCTTACCTTAGTCCCATGTTAGCATTTCAGTGTTTGCCTCCTTGTCCTAGGAAAACCTGTGTTAAAAATAGATATTGTCGACAGGAATTATATAAACATAGATAGCAACTCAGAGTTGCAATTGTAAAGATATCTGCATGACAACGTAGTCTGAACTTTTTTTTTTTAGTATTGAACTATATAATACATTGCAATACAATAACAACATTTGGGTATTAAGTGTTCTTTCAGAGATTAAGTAACCTATTGTTGCTCTAGGAGGTATTTTGTCAGAATGTACTCCCTCCAACTTAAGCGCATCTGTCTCCTATGTGCTACACTGAAAGCTTTGTTTGTCCTGTGTGCCTGAAAGGCTTGCCTAAACTCTCCCTCTCAAAAGCAAATCTTTCAGGAGTTCATGGTCATGTTTCCCAGCAGCAATACAAATATTGCCATCTTCCTTGGTCACATCATTATAATGTAGAAAACCACCATAGAGTTATCTCACCAGCCTGGACTATTTGCTATATCAGAAGCGTTTGTGGGAAGCTCTGTTAGTTTCTGTCTGCTGCAGTTCATAACCTGCCTTTTCTTGTTTTAAAGTGCTGTAGCTATAGCCACTTCAGCTCAGTCCGCTACCAAACAATGGTGTCATTTTTGTCTCAATGTCTAGTCTTAAACTTGTCAACTCCATTTAAATTGGCTGTACCAAGGAAGAAAGAGTTTCATCGCCCAAAAGCTTCTTGAAGAAAACAAGTTATAAACAGAATCCCTTACTGTAAGCCTGAGCATCTTAAAAGCTCATGGAGATCTCAGAGAACTATCCTTTAGAAAGAAACTATGTGGGAGATACAAGACTGACAAGCCTCTTATATCTAATAGCTGCTTGTATTGTGAAACTGCTTTTTCTTGGAGGAACATCGTCTACAGTTCAGATTTCATTATTTGTTCTGAGTGATTTTCAGCATCAGATACATGGTAATGTCAGAGAGGGCTTTTTGTTGCCTTGGTTAATATTATAGACGAAATATTCCCTTTCCTTCACAATTTCCTTTGCTGCATGGGATGTTTGGAGGTGATGATGTTAGATGACTCATAGAACTGCAGAGGTGAAGGTCTTCTTTTCCTTTCATTATACTGGTATCTTCTACTGGACTACCATAGGCAGTAAATCTGAAACTATCCTGGACTGGAGACTGTAGTGAAGACCCAGCTTGATGTCATTGTACTATTTGTTTGTAGACAGAATAGAAAACAGTACAGGTCCTGGAAATCTGCAACAGTTGGCCCAGAACCTGTATTGTACTGCTGAGTCTTTTGAGCCAAGACAAACTACAAGGATCTTGGCAGAGGTACCTGGAGACACAGACATCTGCAGCACACAGGCTGCTGCAAAAATACGGGATTGCTCTGAGGCAAGTCAGAAGAGATGTGTGAGGTAGGAAAGAAAAGTACAGTGATAGAAACTCCTCTTTCACAGTGAGCAAGCTTCTTGAGGTTGTAGTGTAGAGTGAAGTAAAGCTACTTCGGGCGTGGACAGAGCTGACTTGATTTTGGATGCTTCTGATATTGTGAACATTTTTGCACTAGAAATCTGACTGTCCTTTAAAATGGTGCCTGTAACTCATGTCATATGTGTTTGTGAGGCGAGCTGATGACCAATGCTGGCTAAGTAATGGAATAAATAAAGAAGTAGTGCAAAATATTCAGAAAAAAAAAAAGTTGCCATTTCTTTAAAAAAATTATTAGCTGATATGAGTTAGCTATACTAGGGTATCTACAGCTCTACTAGTAACAGTTATCTTTGAATTTCAAATAGTCATATTTAAATAAGTAGAAACACCTCTAGTTTTTCACATTTGCAGGTCAGTCTGGCACTACAGTATGTGACTCATATCCCTGTCTTACTCTTTCTTTTCCTTTTGTTCTTCACCCTCAGATGGTTCCAAATGATTACTTGATCTTTGTGTAGTTCATCTAGTGGACACTGTAGAAATATGCTGCAGAGGAACACTATTTTGAATTAGTTCAGACCAGAGACACCTGGAATTTTTACATACCTAGCCATAAAGACTACTCACCCATGATGTATATTTCTTAATGGCAGTTATAATTATTTTCTTGAGAAAATATTCACTCTTTGTGGTGCCAGGCAGAGAGCTGACTGAGGAGGAAATAAATGTCCATCAGAGATTTCCTACCTTATGGAAATGATAACTGTGGCAGTGATTCATTATATATCTGTAATGAAATCATTGTCCCCATCAATTCAATGGGATCAGGGCTCTATGGACCACAATTTCAGCTGTGAATTTGAGACGGGCTGCATACCTGGGATTTTCAGGTGCTCAGCATCTCTCAGAATGAGGCTCTGTATGTTACAAAGAACAAGAGCTTCTTGCTTTTAGAAGAGATTCTTGCAGTATGCAGCTATTTTAAAATATTTTAAAGTATTTCAGTTTCCTCAGGAAATAATGCTATCATGCTAGAAAAATAACTGTTTATTCCTGTCTTGACATCATGGATCTTGGCTGTAGTGTACTGATTCAAAGAAACACAGCTGAAGTAACCTCATGTGTGTGTGTGTTTTAAGTAGTTTATTAAGAGAGCAACTGATACAATCCAGAGTTGCAGTCCTGAGAAAAAATGTTCAGTTGCTGGAACTTAATTAGCCAACATGTTTGCCTTTTTTATTTTTCCAGTGCTGCATGAAAACACAGAAAATTGATGTTACAGATAGTTCTTTTAACAGATAATCTCGAATGAAGGGCCAGCTATGGTCAGGATCTAGGGCCTGAACTGCATATGACTTCATGTTATCCTACATTCAGCAGTAGTGTAGGTTATCTTGGGCATGGCACCATGTGAATAAAGGGAAGAGCTCCTGATACCAACTTAGGAGATTTTGCTGTATCATGTTTGGGCTCCAGTTCAAAGGCCTCTACACTGTGAACTGATGCACTGCAGACATGGACAAAGACATTTAGAATAGTGCTAAATAACTGAGGGGAAGAGAACAATATATGCTCTGTTCTGCTCTTTCCTGTTTATGGCTGTCCATTTTATAAGACGGGTATTATGGCACTGAATCATGAAAAGAACATGTATCTAGAAAAGTTGAATTATGTTTCTGTGCTCTCCTTCCACCTTAAAAAATTTTGATCAGTTTATGAAAGTGCTTTGGGCACTCCCCTGGTTCTTTCTGCAATATAGCGGTTAATGTACCAATGGATCAAAGCTTGTAAGACTTTGCTAGACAATATCCTTTTGCTTAAGTAGGGAATGAGCAAACACAGAGGATGTGACTCACAATAGCTCAACCCCAAGGTAAGTAGTTTTTCTGCCAGACAGCTAGCAGTAGTCAAAGTTACTGTCAGATTGTTTTGCATTGGGAACAGGATGCTGTGAGAAAGGCACAAATAGAGAATGAGTACAGAGCAATATGAAAGGGCATTTCAGCATGTGTCTTGAAGGGTCTTTCCAGCTGGTTCAGACCACTATGGATTGAAATGGTTGTTTCTGGTAACTAGACTGACTCAACAGTAAACTTTCGCAGTGTGTCCTATTGCTAGTTGAGAGAAAAGTTGATTTTAAAAGCATTTTCAAAGGAGGCAAAGCCTGTCAATAGCTATGTAGCTTCTAAGTCAAGTTTTGGATGGCTATTTTTTTCCTTTCATTTTATTTTATTTTAGTACAGTTGATCCTTAAATGTCTGAGTCCTAAAGGACTGAACATTTAAGGATTGATGGGTTGTAGATTCCTAACATGCTTTGCAATCTGACTCAGTTTTGTTGCCGTTAATCTTTAAAAGAAAAAAAAGATTGAAACTGTTATCTTACAGCTAGGGCTGCAAAGTGCCTGCAGCTCCTGCAAAAGACAGTAATATCTATGAGCATTCAGCCTCCCAGAGTGCCTGCTGTGGAAGAGGAACTGTGGTTCTACTTTTTATTTTTCTTTCTTTTTTTTTAATTTTCTTTAATTTTTTTTTTTGCTTCTTTTATATAAAGTCAAAAGGCTCTTTTTTCATGCAGGTTTTCAGATGCAATGCTGACAATTGTTTCAATGTACCTTCATGGAACTATTTGCAAGATCTAAACTCTTTCTATGTATGTATAAATTAGGCATTTATCTCATTGTGTGTACACAGTGTCTTGCAAGACTACTAAATAAAATGCAGAGACTATGTTTCTCTCACCATTGTTACCTAGACCTCCCCATAAGGTCTCTTCTGAGTTCCTGGGTGCAGGTTCAGACTGTCTGATGCTTTTAAATATTGATGCAGGCACATGTTATGCATGCCGACATTTGTATGTTTCCTCATGGAGACCAGAAAAATCAGTCTCAAAGGAAATAATTAGAATCATAAAACTCCTAAAAATTGCATCCTTCTTCCTCCTTGGCAGAAAATGTTATATCAGATAAAGTGACACAGCATGTTTTCCACCTCATCCTTCTCATTTCTCCATCCCTATTATTTATGAAATGTATTATCTGCACATGAACACTCCTTGCAGCTTTAGCAAACAACAGTCCTATGTGCAGGCTTCCATAGGAAAGTTAATAGAAATACACCTAGCTCCTGGTCACATTCCAGAAGAAGTCTGCCAAGTGTCTTATGTTCGTAACATGTTCCTAAGCATAGACTACCCCTGTAAAGGGATTTAAGGTTGGAAGATTTGTTTGCATTGGGGTTTGGAGCTGCATCAGTATGAAATTTTTATTTTTAAAATACTCTTTATTTGTAAGTCAAAACTAGATGCCCCATGCGAGGCATTTCTAATTACTGCTAATGAATTACTAGGACTACAGTTGTGTTTAGGTGTCAGATAATACACAAGATATTTAGGCATGTTCCTCTCAAATATCGATAGGTTGTGATTCCATGTTTCATGCTTCCAATAAAAGGATCTTCTCTGCTTATAATCTCCTATCCTCTGGGATGTCTCCTTGATGCTTTCTGAACTGTTAAATGGTACCCAAAGGCCTTTTGTCATATGCTGCTCACCCAAACATCCCATTACTTTTAGGGAGGGATATGAGCTTTAAATCCTGAACATTAATTTGCTTAGTACTCATGGTTTGTTACTGCTCATGGACATCAGTAGATCCCAGGTATGAAAGCTAAACATCTGGTATAAATATGCTTTCCTAACTACACAGTGTGGATGTACTGAAGCTAATTCCTGAACATGTGAAAGAGTGAACTTGAGCTGGCTGTCCCTATGGCTGTCCAGATTAGGATTCCTTATTCCCTCCTAGTACTAAATGCTCTTTGAACTCAAATCTGTGAACTTTTGTAATCACTGAAAGTAACAAGGTTTCCTCCTGTTTTATAATTCCCAAAAGACAACAAACAGATGCCTAAGGAGAGGGGAGTCATTTATGTTCTTGAATTGTAAGCCAGTATCTGCAGTACGGGAGTTATATAGAGAAGATGCATTAAAAGATGTTTTTCAATCCCTCTTTTCCCATTTTTTCCTGATGTTGATGTTTTAAGGGTTTAGGGAAGGTTTTGTTGTTGTTTCTTTTTATTGATCCTTCTACACTAAAAGGAAATTCAGCTGGAAGGACTTTGTCATATGGATGTTGGTTAACTAGACTGGCTAGAGGAGGCAGCCCTGCACATGAGGTTTTTCTATTGACAGTAATGTCTCTGGAATAAACCTGAGACACAGGGAATTCCTTAAGATGCTTTCTGAGGTAGGGGGTAATTTTTCTGACCATGGCTTTTTGGTAAGACTTGCCACAACATACTCTTTGTCAAGAGAATTGCACATCAGCCCTTAGGCAATAAGCTGTTCGATAATAAAATTTTCAGAGACTGTATCACTCCTGGGCCTATTTTTGGACAGTCAAGGCCTACAATTTCTATGTAACACCTTGGAGGTAATGCACTGTCTTTTTCCTTTTTCCTTTCTGCACAGAAAGAGAGTGGTGACCTTGATTCACAGTTTTTCTTAAAAGAAAAATATGTATATATTGTAATAGCAAATTTATGATGGTTTCATTTCTAACATATACTCTAAGAACTTATTATAGAAAACAGAAATAAGTGCATACCTATAAGCCATTCTTCAGACTCTGAGCAAAATCTCTAAAATTTAGCAGCATCTTTTAAGGAGGAGAAAAGACCTTGCTTCCATGAGAAAAATCTTCATGCCAACTTACTGCAGAACATGTGTCTGTGCCCCGTAGATTGCATATGTGTCCCTGTTTTACCTAGAACCATGGTTTGGGCTATATAAATATGTATTTTGGCATGAATGTCAATGTGAATTTACTCAGTGCTTATATGCCTCTCTCAAATATCACCTAAGGAGCAAAAAACAATGTATAGAACAAAAACCCTGGTGGGGATCTTTTATGTTGTGTGGCACAATGGTCTTTGTTCTCTTCCACATGCTCGTTGCTACTGACGAGTGGGTAAGACTCTCAACCTGTATTACAAACAACAGGCCCCATGGATCATCATCTAGCAGGCCTTCTAAGTCACATATGCATGTCCCCCCTATCACCCAGCTGTCTAGGCATCAGTGACAGACCCTCAGATTTTATTCAGACCTTACTTGGGTAATCTTCCTTTGTTTTGAATTAAGCATTTTCTTAGATTTTTCAGGCAGCAGCCCAGTATGGAATCTGGAGAGTACCAGTTCAGACAGCAGGACTGCAGAGTAAAGAGAAATTTCTTGAAAAATTTAAGCTAGCCAGTCAGTGTCTCTCACAAGTCATGCTGGAATCAGGATGCCCATGAAGCAGATTGTGCTGGATTTAGTAGCAACTGGAGGAAGTCTTCAGGGAGCTTCATGTCAAAGCTGCTTTATTGTTGGAAACTAATTGAAGTCCTCGTGCTACTGCAGTCAAGGTTTTTATCGTTCTCACGGCCATGGTTCCACATGCTATCCCTTGTACCTCTGTCCAGGTCTTTTATTGACCACTTTCTTCTCCTTATTTTAGGTTTTTATGGGCAGCTTCAGACTTTCTGCCCTCCACATTATGCTGACACTCAGAAGAACGTACAACATGGCATCTCTTGCAATATGGTTCCTCCTTTTGAAGACTGCTCAGTTCCCACGTCAGTGGGCCAGGCAGGGCTTGGCATTTTCCATCGAACTTTTTCAGCTCATTCTGGTATTACAGGTAAATGACAATTGTGTACAGTTTGTGGACTTTGACAGATCTGCTTGAGCTGTGTATGTGACTGGGACTGCTCATGCCAGACTCAACTCTTCACAAAGAGGAGATGGTTTTCAGACCTTTGTGGAGTGGGCCTTTGGGACCCAGTCACCACAGGTCACAGTAACATCTGGCCTGTGTGCAGACTGCACACTGTTGAGAGCTGCTTCTGGGGGTCACGCAGTCACTAGCTCATGTATTTGCTTTGAAATACAGTCCACAGAGCCCTGTGTGATATTTGTGCAGCCACTCCACTGCTGTAAGTATTGTAGCAAGGACCTGAGATGATTCAAACCATTGATTTTGCTTTATGCATATTTGATTTTTCTCAGTCTTTAATTTCATTTATTCACATTTCCATGACAGGAACTGCCTGGGTCCACACTTTTGTGTGGACACTTGACTTAGTTTCTGCCTACCTGAGAAGTACATAAGGGCCTTGCACACTACTCTGGAAAGGTGAAAGTTACCTCTGTGCAGAGGATCAGTGGGACTGTGGTCCCAATCTTAGGGCCTAAGCACAATTGATGCCCAAGTCTTTTATTGTCCTTCCACACAGGATGATTTCACTTAACATTTATTGTGTTTTGAAATCTCTTTTACGTCTTGGTTCTTCGGTGGTGCATTAAAAAGCCAATGCACCTGTAACTTAGAAGAGGTATCTCACAGTATGTAAAGATGTACTCCAAAAGATGGGAGTTTTTCTGAAAACAGTTACTCTTGTGCTTACTAGTATCACTTGTAGAAGCTAGTAATTTCTGTATCAGGGTCTGCTTTACAGCAAATGAGTTCTACAATATCTTATTGCCTCTTATCATATGTTTGGTATGATGAAATTTGATAACCAAGCATGAAGTTTATTTTTAAAATCATCACAATTTTAGCACCCATTAAATGGGCAAGTGTTAGTTGTGATGAAATCTGCTGTACTTCAGACTTGATTCTGACAGAACTGAAATTCCTCCCTTGGTAAGCAGTAAGTTATGTTATTATTAATGTCATACATATGTTGGCTTCTTTTTTTTGTTTATCTGTTTGGTTTAAAGCCATTTCCAGTTCTCTGCATAAGTATTAGGACATTCTCCATTATAGTTACCCTAGTTAATTAATTATTTTTGTATTTTTTCCAGTTTATGACTTTCCAACAGTGTCCACAGGTGTCTTTGGTGATCCAGCTCGCAGCATGCCAGAGGATAGCAGCTTCCTACAAGTAAATGCAGTGGACCGTTGTTCTAGCCAGCTTTCTTCTGTCTACACCGAAGGCTAAAGCAATATAAATCTAGTTACAAGAACTTGATTACATTTCATCTTGTCTTTGTGATATTTCTCTACAAAATCTTCCTCTCCATGAAACTGCCATGTATGTATGGGGATATAGGTTGATATACATACATAAAGGAGAGGAAGAAAGCAATCACCAAGCATTCGTCATGTTATCAAGAAGTCAACTGAGGAGGAGAATGTTTGGAGAAAGCAAGCTTTGCCAAAACCTTAGTAATTGTTTCTTTTATTTTCGTCTGTGGCACAGCAACTCTACTTCTTTTGTTCTTTCTTCTTTTTAATTTCTCAAAGGGAATTCACAGATTGAATAAGAAAACTGCTTGTTAGCTGTAATCCTTTCAAGCTGAATGGGTGGACTAAAGCACAGCTTTAGAAAACTCCTTTTTTTAAAAAAAGGGAGAGTAAGCAGAACCAGAGCATACTACAAACATTTCAAAGGCACACAGCTTTTTGCACAACCTGTTTGCATGTGATGCTTCCAAAGTTAAACACACACCAGCATCAAAAAGGGAGAGAAATTAGACATATATCCTGGCACTACTAATGGAGGTATTGGTGTGGCTTCTTTTTGGAGCCAAAGACCATTGGTACTGGGTTTCTTACAGGCCTTGGTTTAGGTGTCTTTTCCTTCTCTCTGTATTTTAAGCCATATAATATGGCCATTGCAATTTTTCCAATATTCCTTCTGACCCAGTGCTTTATGCAATGAATAAGAAGGGTTAAATGCACTACATGAGAAGGTACATGGACTTTTCCTATATTTAGCACAGCTGCTAGATAGATAAAAATAAGTATGTTTTAACTTTATGTTGATTTTTAATTATATTGTAGAGCTTTATTGCTGTATGTGCTATAGTACTCCATAGAAAGGTTTAATATACCCTGTAGAAAATATATGCTTCCTTAAATTCCACAGATTTTTTTAAAAGCAATCTGTACTGATTCAATTGAATTTTTGATGCCCTAACATTTTTCACTTTCATAACACATTTTCAGGAAGAAGAGCTACTCTTAAGTTTGCTATGTTCCCTCTGGTTATTTAGAGATGTAAAACTGAACTGGTTTGGTGGGTTTGAATTTTCTCCTCAATTTCAGGCTCAGGTCTTCAATTTAGTCCAGGATGCAATCAAATGAGGTTGCTCTTCATGAAAGCTACAAGGGCATGAGTTAAAAACAGTATTTTGCAGTGGAGATGTGTCACCACTGTAGTCCTATATACCTTGGGAGCAACTCTTACCTTACATAACATTGAGTTTTTAGGTTATTAATCTCTGTCCATCCATTCTGTGGACTTCTTACTGTGTGGTGTGCATCTTAATATTCTCATGACCTGATTTAATAAGAAGGACAAAAATCCAAAATTCATTATTACAGGCTAGACCATAACTATGTTCTGAAATCACTCATCTAGAAAGATGAAGTCCAAAAAAATGTTTAAACAAACATTTTCTTATCCTGAGAAGCTTTTGAGAGTTGTTTAATGCAGTTTGGGTCAAATTCATAATTGAACTTGCCATTATGTTGCATAGATGAATCTATGTCCAGATATTTATAAACACTGGCAATCTTTTGAGGTTTATATTCATGAAGTATATTCTTAGATACAGGTGTATGTGCTTATATATTTAATGTAGATTTTCATCCAATAAATGCAAAGTATATACCGATAAATGATGCACTTAAATGATATACAAAAGGAAGTCATGTGGCTTAAATACAGACAATTCTGTACTAAATTCTTCCCCCTTTTATTCTGCTGTTCACATCACAAGTGAATGTGTCCCTTTGCTTCATCTTGCCATAGTAGGTCTAGTTGTTACTGTATGTGGTTTGCATTGGGTTAAATGACGTCAGGCTTCCCGACACAGCTATACATATACAGGCAAAAAGACAGTCTTTTTGCGTTAATGTGTGATCTGGCCCAGTGTACTGACAGCGAGTATCTCTTTTTAAAAAAGCTTTAATTTTGTGCTGTCTTAAAGCCCTTTCTGTGGTCACTGCACATGCATAACTTTTTTGTTCAGCAAGAGTAATTAGGCATGCTGCACACTTCAATTTCAAATGTGTAGGACTATGTTTTGTTCCACCGAAATCAGTAAGGGCAGGATCAGGCCCTGTGTGTACATATGCATGTATATGTACATACATACTTCTGTATATATAAATCCTTCAAGATTCTTTTACCACATGGTTATCCAGAATTTGTCAGTTGCTGTGTACAAAACTGAAATATTGCTGCTGACTTCAGGTCTGTACCACCTTGACTTTTAAATGTTTTGAAATACTTTTTCTAGTATCTGAATATACAAGCTATCCGGCAAAGAGGGGGCTTATACATCAGGAAAGATCCTGACCAAAGGGAAGGTGGGAAGAAAAAAATCCAAAAAGGGTATTCGTAATTTGGGGGTTCATCAGTTACACTTAAAAAAGGAAACTTTTGCAAGTCATTCATTCATTCTTTTATGTATATATATAATAGATATATTTACAGCTTTCTGTGAGCATTAATCTTAAAAGAAGGAGCTAGAGTACAGTCAAATTAAGCACATGAGAGTGGGCTACCAGTCTTAAAAAAGGTAGGCCTTTGTTTACTTCTGTATGAAATACAAAGAGGATTCTTCATGATTATTTCATTATTCTCTTTGGAGTCAGACTGACTTTGGGGGATCAACTTATATCACTGAGGGCAATTGTATTAAAAAGAACCATTTTATCTCATGTATCTTGGATATTTAAATAGGGAATCGTGTTTGTCATGTTACAATGAAAAATGGTGCTTGTGAAAATACATAGCGTAATGCCAGTTACTGACTTATATGCAAATACTTGTGCCTCAGTGATTTTCGTGTTGTTATTCTACTTGCTGGATTGTTAACTTTCTAAAGGGATTCATATCTAAGAGATGAAGTTATTTTAGACTATGGACATTAAACAATATTCTAATGAAATTATTTACAATCATTCTCTTATACAGTTCTCTTGTTTTCAGATTCAAATAGTCTATTTATATCTGCATGAGAAATGGGTCTACACTGGAGTTTAAAATACAGTTTCAAAGCGCATGTGTACATGTGTGAGTGTATGCGAGTGCATGTGTGTATTTGGATCTCCCCTTCTATGTATATGTACACACATACATACAGGCATTATGGTTTACTAATACTGGATGCTGAAGTATTGCAGTGCTAAGGCCATCTGTCACATTGTATTTTGTTTTCAACTTTCTTTGAAGAGGTGTGAATGAGTATAAAAATCACATTTTAACTGTTTATTCCCTGTTTTCCCTGTGTAATTTTATAGCAGATTTTTTTAAACAGCACTTTTTTGTTGTTTGTGTGAAATTTTGTTGTTGGTGTTTGGTTTTGGTTTTTTTTTTAATTTCCTAGGAACAGATGAAGCAAAAGCAAGAGACCACAATTTAAAATGAGCTGGGTGGGGGTTTATTTAAGAAAAAAAATCCCTTTATTCTGTACAGAAAGCAGCATCTTGTGTAATATTTTTTACACAAAGCACTTTGGTGAGGAAAGAAAGTGGAAGTATGTTTTTCCTAAACCTTACGGAGTATTCTACATATTTATACATGCTTACATATACAGATATGAACTCCATTTGTCATAACTGTATATCTGGCTGATATTTTCTCTAAAGACATACCTGTTGCATACTATGAAAAATAAATTTTCAAAAGAATTAGTTACACTTCTTTCTCTATTAGTATGTATAATTTTGTGATTTGTTACAGTTATTTTTCATATAATCATAAGTTATTTTTGTCCTGTTTCATAAAATCCTTTTTTATGTAAAAGGTAAAATCAAAAGGTGTATGTGCATGATACAAAATAAAACTGGAAAATTATAACTTAATGACACAACCAGTAGGACGTCTTGTTGTGAGATGCCTTTAAAGAGTGCTGCTCCAGCCATTGTCCTTCACCATAAAACTACTAGTATTTGTATGAATTAGTATAATTAGAAACAGAAATAGAAAAAAAATCTCAAAGATTTCTTCTAAAAAACACTTGGGTCACAGTTTTAAGTCTGGATTTAATTATTGTTATAGTGAGGCTAGAGATTTGTAGAGATAAATGAATGCCTCAGTGTGTGTTTACACCCTGGGTGGAGACACAAATAAAAGAACATTTAATTACATTTTTGTGCTGTGATAGTTTTTATTGGTTTCTTTGTTCATGTGGTTCTACAATACAACGTGTAAAGAGATTTTGCTTTTCTGTCTGGTTATTGTTTCTAACATACCCAAGGAATTAAGAAGTTATTTCAGAGCATTTAATGTAAGGAAAAGAGCATCTATTTTTACTGAGCAGTAGGCAAAATGCTAACAAAAGATAGAGACCACATTGTCCCAAACACATCCTAAGAACGCAGCATGCTTAGGAAATTAGAGGTTACCCTTTACCACACCCAGAAATTAGACTAGAAATCTAAGCACAAAATACAAAGTAATAAATTCATTAAGTGCAAGAGAATCCTGCTATATATTTGCAAACAGACCTTTGAAAATAATGGTCTAAGCTGATTTTACTATGAAAGTATTAGCAAGGTTGGCTCTGAGTCAACCTTGAGCAGAACAAAAACCAGTAAGCCCAAATTCACTGACTGGTATACATGTGAGCTTAGTAGAGCTTCACTAAAAATGAACTTTGCCCCGTATTTTCTTATTTACACTGCATCTTAATTTAACGTGGGAAACTTGCCCCATGGTTTAGCAAATAGTGAATCCTGCAAGCCATCATGTAGAACTAAAAGTTGCTGAATGCAAGTGTTTCAGAATTCAATTTGTCTTTTTAATGGAGGGAGAGCCCTTAAAATGAGAAGCATACAAGTTCCCTATGCAATGGAGAGTAACATGGCTTTTCTCTGGGTGCCTGAGCTGGATCAGTTTTTCATGATGTCCTGCAAACCCTCCTATAGCAAAATAGTGAAATGTAGGAAAGAAATTATGTGACAGCTATGTTCCTCCAGAGTACG